GATTATTAAAATATTTGAATAATTTAATTACCTTCACTGATAAAGTTTTCCCATGATCCACTGGAGCTGGCATCCAACAGCTGTGATGATTTGAGGCACTGAGGCATTTCATTCTCCCACTACTGTGTCTCTCTACTCTACAGTGAGGCTCAAATCCCGACTTCAAGCTTTTATTCATTGTGCCTTTGGAGATGATAAATGGTAAAATAAAACTGAAGAACAAAACACAAACAAACAAAAAAACAGAGCTCTACCAGAAGAGGGCCAGAGCTTGTTCCTCTGTAGGTCCTGAAGAACCAGCATCTCAGATCTGCCCATCTGCTGGCAGCTATTTCGATGTTTGTGTGTGAAAGCTCTTATTGTTGCTTTACAGGGAAGACAAAGACACACACCCACATACTCACTGAGACTCACACAAAGAAAGTGAATATATGCAAAGACTCCCTGAGTAATGTACATTCAGGGAAGGTCTACTAGATGCGGGGGTGTTTGAGGTCATTCCATTTAAATTTACAGGCTAACATAAAAAGGGATGCAGAGTAAAGATGAGACAATAGGGGGGAATGGAAGAGATAGCAGATCGTGAGAGGAAAAGAAAGCATGCCAGCTTCTCTATCAGCCACTGCTCTGGGCTGCAGATTCAACTGAGAGACGTTCCGCTGAAGCTGCAGTGTCAGGACATGCGTGCTTTCACTGTGAAGCTCCTAAATCAAAACTAGGACAGTGTGGGATTACTGTGTGCTGGGTATGTCTGTGAGAGATGTAGCCCGGAGTCGGCACAAGAACGTTAATCCCTGACAGATTACCTGCTGTTTCATTCCTGTTAACAAACAGCCTTTCTCAATAAATTTCCATCTTTCCATTTAATCCTTTCTATTTTGTCCTTCCCTTTTCTGCTTTCCTTGATGGCTTTGCTTGGTTTTTTATGACTTTCTTGCTCCTTGCACTCTGCCAGCTTTCTTTCTACCTGCTTTTATCTTTGGCATATCATCTGATTTATTATGGATAAATTATCAGTGATCATTGCACTGTTCATTGAGTGTTGTCAGATTATAATGCAACTTTTAAACACTAGTTGTACGTTTTGCCTGAAAGGGTCATAAAAAGTCAAAACTTCCATCACGTTTCCAGATACATACTCTACACCTGGGTGTGTACTTCGGGTCCTTAGATTGAAATTTTACCACCACTAAAACTTCGTTGAAAAATTTTTGTGCATAGCTTCAAGGTCTTGATGAATTCCCCCATATTACTGCCTGTTATTTCAGCATGTACTGTGTGGAGAAAGGCGGAGAGGCAGGGCTCCAGCCAGGCAGATAAAGCACACAGACAGAATGACAGAGCGCAGAGAGACAGCCAGACAGGAAATCATATGGACAGCGGGTCAGTCCAGATGACTAACAGAGCGCTGGTTGTTTTTATTGTTGGGAACTGTGGTCAGTGGCATTCCAGTCCTCCTCCTGGCCTTCATCAATACTGAAATACTGCTGACTAACACACACACATCTTTGTTTTTTTCACTCAGTAGGCAGTGAAAAACTTGGGGTGGCACACTACAAAGGCTATACAGTATAAATTTCAGGCAATAGAAATGAATATAAAGGTAAAAGCTATGTAATTCCTTGGATGGCTCCTGTGATTTTCAGATGCAGAAATATCTAAACTAAAGCTTTGATGCAATTACAAGACATCAGATTTCATACTAAATTTCTTACTTTAATCATTTCACTGATTTGCATAATTTAATAACAACCAACATGGCATTCTAGTTTTATCTCAGAGTGAGAATGCTCCCCTCCAAAAGGATGGTGGCCACAGCACACCTGGCCTCCCCCCTGGGGGTGCCACTCTCAGTAGGTCTTTACACTGGCGTACATTCGTTACCTGGAAAATTAGGTAACCTCAACCATAACCTCTGCTAATCTTATTCTAACCTTGTCTCCCTAAATTCAACAATTTACTTTGTAGGGATCACCATCTGGTCCCCAGTAGTGGTGAGTCCCCACAAGTATAGAAAAACAAGGCAACACAGACTTACAGTCATCACCTACAGGGTCTGTATATAGACTTACATTCATTTCCAGAAGACGTACTCTAACCTTAAGCAAAACCTACATCTGCTCTAACCTTACACTCCTTCAGTTCCTAACACATTGTAAAGAGGCACTGTGTGAATATTTGAGCACAAGGGAAGATACTGTTCAGTTCTTATCTTCACAAAACAACATCATGAGCACAGAATGATCATAATTTGAAGCTACAATTACCATGGCAAATGTCATGACAGCTGGCAACATCGTTTTTGTTGGGTCTCACATGAAGTGCTAACCTTGAGTAGACTGCAGGGCGTGATTGTTGATATTCGTCCAAACCGAGTTATAAGTCCTGATATCAGAGGCCTGGAGTTTAATCAGTGCATGACTAACATTAGCAGCTGTGGCTGTGACACTTTCCCACAGCTAATGTAGGAACTGATTGGGAACTGGAGGGCTTTTTCATTAGCATTCCTGTTTTAGTTTTGGGTCAATAACCAGTTATTTTTGCTAGACTAGACAGTACATAGAAATGTGCTTTACAAAGTAGTGCATTTTATCAGGTTCAGTTCTTTACATGTTACTAGGGACATAGGGACAGTCCTTCTGGCTTGGCTTGGTGCATAATACAGTTTTCCCAGGTGGGAAAGTTGTGAGGGCTCAAACACTGGCATGTGCTGTGCCCTTCAGGTGAAGCTCCTTTCTATCAGGTGAGAAGAAACACTTGGAATCATTTGTATCTGAAGTGACACATGGTGGTCTGCAGTTCTCACAGACAAGCAGAGGACAACTGCTGTGACAACAACAGCAGCATACAAGGAACTGGGTGGTCCAATTTTGAGAAAATTTTTAAAAAGTGGGGAAAAAACACTTGGCTAAACAATTTCTTTTCAGTCAAGTTACATCTTCTGTTTCTGTCTGGCCACGGCTGTGATGAGGGCAGCACCCTTCCCGCTGCCCTCCTCTGATGGGAGGAAGGTCACATTACACTGAGGAGCCAAAACTTTGGCAGTGTCATGGAGGATGCCAGCGAAACTAGAAACAACAGAAGAAGAAGTGTTTGTAGTTTTTAAAAAGCAATCTGAGGAGACTAAATAGTCAAAGAAAGCAGCTGTTGAATCCAGCCACCAACAACATTTTGAATTGAGCTGAATTATTGTTCACCTGAGTCACACACCTCACACACACTAACAACAACAAATAGTGAAAATGACTCACTGTGGATGTTGTTTGTAGAGTGCCCCATCCACCCCTACAGTGATGTTTAGATGGTCCAGCCCTCGGTTCTCTCTGATCTTATCGACCACGGCCGCCATTCCTGCCCCACACAGCTGAGCTGCACGACGTGACACTGCGCCACATACCTATACAACAATGAAAACCATTATCATTTTGGCAACAGTTGACAGATTGTTGGTGCTGCTGTTTGGCGAGCTAGACAATATTTCTTCACCCAACTCCGTAGAAAAACACAAAATGTTGCTCAATCCTAAAGTGAGTTTGCGACACAGCATTTTAGTAGGCCATAGGTTTAACTCTTAACCTCTCTCTGGAATTTAGGACAAATAAGAGACAAGTAAGCAATAAGGCTGTAGACTCAGGCTATTTTACATTTACATTGCTTAGTTGTTAATAGCCGTTACAAGGTTCTGACATTTTGAGAGTTGGACAGTCAGGACCACCTAAATGCTCCATGTTGTTTGCCAACAGGCCTTTTCTGAGCAGACATCTCGACATGACAGGAAAAGTAAAAGTGTAACTAATAACATTATTTATGGATCCATTTCATTTATATGTGGTTGTTTCCATTGTGCAGGTTGGCTCATGAGGAATGCTTAATATGAGAAATTAAATGTTAAATGACAGCTTTAATCAATTTAGACTTAAACTTTGTAACTTGTGAGATATAGTTTGATTGTGTGAGGCTGAAATGGACTACTATTAATGTCACAATATCAAAGACAGCTGCTTAAAAAGTCAGGTATAACAAAACACTGAATCCAGCCTGTCTTTAATGTTTAATTTGACTTGAAAAAGGTCCATGCACTGATGTCTGTTAGTGTTAGGGCTCCAGCCCTTGTTCATCACTATTTTCTACCTCTTTTACAATCATGCTGTCGTTGCAGGTGCTTTCGAGCCCCAGCTGCTGGAGTACGGATCTGACCTGCAGTAGAGCCAGGTGGTCACTAGGTGGAAACAACACAGTTATACAGTTCAACAAATAGTTCAGTGGAACTAAATTTTGTTAAAGTTATTAAAACTTTCTCTTTCTTGCTCACACACGCACACACACACACCTCTCTATTTGTGAAAGGTATTTGGTTTGGAATATTCCAGGTGTTTTTAAAGTTTCAGTGACGTGTCCTCTGAACAGCAAACCTCCTCTTGTTAAATCCAGTAATACCTGACGGACAACTTCACCTAAATACATCCCACTGGTCAGCTTCTCAAACCTAAACACACAAACACACACAAAGAATCTGTTATAAAAAAAACCTGTAGTGGAGTAAAAAGTACAATATTTGCCTCTAAAATGTAGTGCAGTAGTGAAGTAGCAGAAAGTGAAAATGCTCAAATACAGATACCTCAAAATTATACTTAGGTACAGTACTTGAGTAAATGTATTTAGTTACTTTCCACCACTGCCACCTGACCATGTCATATGATCTCAGTAGATCTGAAAACATATCATGAGCATGAGGCTCATAACAGTGCAAAGTAGCCCAGCACACAACTACATGATCAACAGAAACGACATGAATATGCCCATGAAATACTCAGCTGAAATTCTGAGACAAACTCATAAAGATAAACCACATGGTGCTGATCAAACATTAAATATAATATGTGTTTTATGACCGCACACACACATGCACACACACATGCACACACACAGTAAGAGGTCTAACCTCTGTTTTCCAGGGTTGAGTGACTGTTTGTCCACCTCAATGTCATAAGGTGTGATTATATCATCCAGAGAGCCATCGTCACCCAGACCTCCCCACTCAGTGTTTATACACATCTTTTCAGTCTCAACATCTCCTGCCTTTTTCTCTCCTTCCATGCCATCATCCTGCAGAGGGCAGATACCAGTGAGTGGGTAAAATATATCAGTTATCACACACAAATGAATTTAGCATCCCCCCCCTCACTGACAAACTTTCTGCTACCTCATCCTCTTCTCCTTCAGCTCTCTCCTCTTGTCTTGCCAGTCTTTCTTTATTTTGTCCAGTCTTTTCAATGTTCTTCACTTCCTCCATGTAACAAACATTGGTACCAGTTCCTGTGGAACAGAATCACATTTTCATATTTACAACAGCGCAGGTTTTCTAAATATTTACTGCCTGTCAAATGCATTAGGTTGTGTTTAAAGTCCAGTCAAGCCCAACACACACACAAATATGACTTATCATTGGTGGACTCAGACTGGTGAATGCTAAAGTTTACCATCATGACAACAAATCAAACCTTAATTGCTAAATCCTTAACCCTAAACTCCACTTTAGCTTTACGGAGCATGCTGACAAAATTAGGGTCCAACTAAGGTGTCACGTACCAGCAATCAGCCCAATTTCACATTGTGGGTCTTCATAGGCACAGCTCATCATGGTCCCAACAGTGTCATTGACTACAGCTGCTATATCCAGGTCAAACTCCTATAGGTACAAACACACGTGTGCACACAATTACACACGTTGTTTATTGCTACTATTGTTTGCAGGACTAGTCTTTATATGCACAGAAGTGTTTTAAATGCTTTTCATTGTCCCTATTGGTACTTAAACAAAGAAGAATACATCTGACAAAATCCAGGCTGTCATTATAGAACTCTGTTCTGCTGTTTTGTGACTCACGTTGCGTCTCTTGATGGCCTCCTGCAGCATGTTAACAACATCATGTCCTTCACAGTCTGTGGCTTTGAAGCCTTTGGTCCAGCTGACCAAGGTGCCCTAGAGAACATACAAAGGTTGGAAAATGTTTCTCCTTTTTCTGTCTGTTTACTTTGTGTATCTTAATATGTATTGCACCATACATTTCTATTTTATGAGGAGATGCTGTTCCTATGAGAAAAAAAAGTTTTCTGTGCCTGAAAAGATAAGTGAACTCCAGATTTACTCTATCACACTCACTGTAGCAATGGAGGTCTGCTCGCAGGGGAAAGAAAAGGTGAAGCCCGTAGGAAGATGGGCGTGCTTCACCCCCATGTAGTCCAGGAAGTCACTAACACATGCTGCCAAATAATCAAACAACTATAAACAGATACAGAAAAAAAGACAGCTGTAATTAAGACCTGTCAACTGTGTATTTGAGTTTCAATGCTGTTTTTCAGGAAAATGAATTTGACCTTCCATTTCTCACAGGCTTTGTTAAAACAACCCTGCATACAATGTGCTTCTTTGGTCGGTAATTAAAAAGTTTTCATCAGTAATTCACAGTACTGTATATTGACAGCATATGTCTTACATCTTCTCCGGTTCCCTGCATTATCTCCAGTGGTATGGTGTAGAGCTTATGGTAGAGACGTGTTTTTTGCTGAAGGCCTTTTTTAAAGTGCACCAGCAATGCTCTGAAGTTGGTTCCTCCCAGATCCAAGGCAAGGTATTTTCCACGCTCTTGAAAAAAAACAAAAAGCCAGTTTATTGAATGTTCTGGTTCAGGTACAGGTATATTCGTGCTTTTGTGGGCTAATTAAAAAAGCAACAGGAACCTTGTTTCAATCAAGAGGCTGAAATAGATGTTTGCTGTGAATCTCTTGTTTGGCTCACATATGTGCGTGTTTCCTTAAAGGTGCATTAACTGGAAAATTACACATGATTAATCCAGTAACAGTGGCAAAACACCTCAGACAGGTGAGGCAGGACGTAGGGACAGAAACATGGGACCTTATGAGCAACTGTGGAAGCTTTCAATCAGGTCCTACCTTGTGGAACCTTCAGACCAAGGTCTTTAACGTGTCTTAACTCAGATTCTCCATAGTGTCGGCTAACCCCAGTGACAGTGGGGCAGGACATGGTGTCTCTCAGCTACAACCCCCCTCCATGACCCTCTGCTGCCTACAGCCTCCTGTTGTTATTCCAGCTTCTCCACCCTGTGATGTCAAAGTACAGTCTGTAAATCAGCCCCGCCTGCCGCCTAGCCAAGGTTAGAAGAAGGGTTTTTTTCAGCCAGTAGTCATGTCAAACAACCATGGAGGAGCTCTGGGCAGCTAAAAGTCTGAACCGGTGGCTGCCAGAGTGAAGAGGTGGTGTCTTTAGCACAGAGAGAGTGGGACAAAAAAAGAGCAACAACCAGGGTTAACATGGGTTTGGCTGACATAAAAGCAGCCAGAGGGGAAAGAATAGATTCAGATGTGGCGTTCTTCCTTCTGAATGTGTTAGCATCTAAAGCAAATGTGTTTGTTTTGATAACATTAGTGTCCTAGCACGGTCCTGATTTTACCTTGAACTAATATGGATTTAGTTTGGGAATAATTTGAGCTTTGTGCAACGTCAGTGTTCTGTGTCACATTAGCAGGAACCAGATCATTCTCCTGGGTTGGCAAACTTCGTTAGTCAGCTAACGCTACTGGAGGCTGCGTCTTGCACAGTTTGTCACAAGAAGGCATCCGTAGCTTATATTGACCCTAACAGGATGTGATGGAAGAGGCAAAAAGCAGTTGATGATGTCAGTTTAGTTTAAGTCTTCTCTGACCTGTGCCATTAGGTCTATGGTACACAAAAGAAGGCAGCATCTTGATTGCAGAAGGGCCTTTACTCCTCAGCCCTGCCTCCAGTCCCACCCTCATCCTGGCCTTCACCAGCTGGAGCTGCCCCTGGCTTAGTGTGAAGGGAGACAGTGACTCATCTACCTGCAATTCAAGTAAAAGATGCTGCCATCAGCCATCTTTTTATTAATGAAGATAAAAATGTTGTAGGTGCACACACAGCATCTTAACCTTTTGCCTCTGTGATGCCAGTCGTTGGGCAACCGCTGCTACCAAGGCAGCTCCTTTGCTGCTGCCGCTGTCTGACAAGAGGAATCTGACATGGCAGTCGGGAACCAGCCGGCGCACCACTTTATGGAGACGTTTAGGATACCTGAAATGGAAAGAGTCCAATGTTTAACCTTTAGTGACCTCTGTAGCAAGTTGATTTAACAAATCCTTCATTTTATTTTAAGTAGGACACCTTCATCCTGTCATAACAATGTAACCAGTTTGAATGAGACTTCTAGGTATTTACAATGATACTATTAAGGGGGATACTTCAACATAGTCTCTCCCAATATGCTTTTATGTATTCACATATTAAATAGTTTATATTTATATTTTCTGCAATTCAGTGATGTCAAAATTTAACCTCTCCCATTTCCTTTTGGACATTTTCTAGGTAAAGAGGATGCAGTGCTGGTGCCTTTAAACTTAATCTTTGACTGATTAGAAAATGCATCAGTGTATCTACTCAAGAATCGCTGTGTGTGAAAGGCACATGAGTTTGGCCCAAACAGATTTATTTTGAATAAAAAGTGTGATCATTCTAAAATTTTACTCTTTGTTAATTGTATAAAAACCCTTTTGCAAAGCAAGCATTTTGACGCTACGAGAGAAACAGTTGTGACTAAAACATTATTGATATGTGAACCAGTATATCATGACCATGTGACAATGAGGACAACATGCACAGTACCAGGATAAGCATATGAGTATGGCTTTCCATAAAAACCTACTGAGGGTGGGTCTTATACACTGTTCCATCCACGCCAACTGTGATTCGTAATGTCCTCAAATTCCGGTTTTGCTGGATTCGAGTCAAAATGGCAGCCAGTCCCGCAGCCACCAGATTTGAGGACCTAAAGGACACTATGGTGCTGACGTGCTGAACAGCGATGCAGTCATCAGGTGATGGGGTCAAATCAAGGTCCATGAGAATGTCTCTGGTGTTCTTCAGACCATTTTTGTACCTATGAAAGGTAAAGATTTATGGAATCTTACTCTTTTCAGACAGACACAGTGTGACACATAAAGAAGACAACTTACTCCTCCATGGCTGCCACATTTGCAGTGGTTATTCTTCCTTTGGTCCTCAAGGCGTCTGACACACATCCATCAAAGAGCAATCCTTGTTTAGCCATCTTTAAAACAACCAGCCTCACCAACTCACCCAGATACATCCCACCGACCATCTTCTCAAAGCTATGATTAGGAAAGAAGTGTGGGAACAGAGAAATAAAGGGGTTAAAGCTTCATACTGTGGCATTATATGCCATATCACAAAAAAAGACACTGCTGCTTTTCTTACATTTGTCTTCCAGGGTTGCTGGAGGCTGCATCGACATCCCTGTCAAACTCAGTGATGTAATCTTTCAGAGCGCCATCATCTCCGAAGGCTCCCCACTCAGTGTTCACACACATCCTGCCCTCGTCTCCCTCCACCAGGTCAACATGACGCATCTCCTCCATGTAACACGCATTGGTGCCTGTACCTAAACACAAAATCATACAGGAAATCCATGCAATTGTTTTTAGATTCTTAACAGAAACTTGCATCGCATATGTTGTCTATGTATAATTCTTACAAGAACACGTCTAACATAAACTAAGCTTGATCTTAAAGTGAAAAGTCCTAATCCTGAACTAACCTTAATTAAATCATACCCTAATCCTATCATTACTCCTATGGCCACTTTCAACATATTTCATAAATATATCTCTACAAATAATCTAAAAATCGAAACGGTTCAGAGAGAGACACATTCAATAATACGATAAACCACTAGAGGGAGGATCTTTTTAACAAAAGGTGCACAACAAATTTAGAATTTCAAAACAGTATTTGATTATTTCATCATTGCATTGTGTTAATTTTCCAAAAAACAAATATTTAAGTGAAAAATTTTGATATATTAGTGGAGACAGTTCTCACCATTACTGTTTAGGGCATTTGGAAGATAAGAGTAAAAAACTAAACAAATAAACAAAAAAGCAAGGACACTTGACAATATACTGGAAGAGAAAACACCGGTCTTACAATAAATGGCAACTTTTGTGAGGTTTCAGAAGGTGTCAGTTCCATTTTATTGTAAGTTTTGAGGCTGAAGTATGTTGTGTTTTTGGACTGGAGTATATAGTGAGGACATAAAGATGTAGGATTCAACTGACACAAAGATAAAGATGCAATTCAAAGGATGTTTGTCATAAACACACAAATTAAAACACATAAAATCGCTGTTTTGGTTTTTGAGGTTACAAGGAGATTTGCCTTAAACAGCTACAGTTAGTTTTGCTTAAGTAAAATTACCAGTAGAGCAATGTAAAATACTCCATTACAATTCAAGGGCATGCATAAAAAATCCTGTTTAAGTACAAATATATTAGCACTTTAAGTATCATAGCAAGAATACTGATTATAAGCAGGTTTTTACTTCTAGTCTGTCGATGTGGAGTTTGTTTCAACAGTTAGGCAGTTTAATATAGTGGTTCTCACAGCCTAATTTTTAATAATGTGTTCTGCATTATTCAATTATATTTTTCTTTGTGTAAAATTTTAAGATGACAAGTAACTAAGTAAAAGTAAAGTTCATCATCTGAGTGAAATTACATTCCCTCATTGGCAACAATGAATGTACTTACCAATGATGAGTCCAACTTCACAGTGCTGATCATCAAAACCGCAGGTCATCATGGTCGCTACAGTGTCATTAACCAGTGCTAACACCTCTATATCCATTCCCTGCAGAGCAAGTTACAGATTGATACAACAGGTTATACTTACAATGGGGAATATTTCCACCGTGCTAAAACAGTCAAATATATGGGTACATACAGCTGCTTCAGAACGTATTTCAACCCTTTCACTTTTTGCACACTATGGGTTGTAGGTTTAAGTTTAGTTTAAATTGAGCAGCTGAGGAAAAAGGCCTTGGACAGGGAGTAGAGCAAGAACCAAACAGTCCCTCTAACAGAGCTTCTGAAGTCCTCTGCAGAGATGGAGAACCTGCCTGGGGGCTTCTACAAAGTACTGAATTAGGGATCTGAATACTTTTATAAATGGAAGATTTCTGTTTTTGATTATTAATACATTTTTAAACATGTTCTGTCTTTGTCATTATGGGTTACTGAGTGCAGATTTATAATGAACTCTACAGGACAATAAAAAGGGGTCAAACCACTGTGTAGTACATGATGGTTGGTGTTTATAAGTCCTTGAATTTTTTGATGAATTTGAAGAATTTTTTCATTCTTTTACTTTTCGCTTTGTTTCATTTTCATTTTCCATGTCTGTGCTGAGGTGGCCATTATGCATCATTCCAACTAAACACCATGTAAACAATCTCACACAGTCCTGTAGACAGTCTGTCTCTGATTAGTGGCATCTGTTTTAATACCTCAGCCATGATTTGTGTACAACTTAGAGTAGTCATCAGAATCCCTGAAGGTTTCCTTGAACAGAAGCATCAGCTAAATGTTTAAAATATGCTTTCCATCAAAAGGCAGGTCTATTTGCTAGTCTCATAAATGAAAAACAGTTTGTGTGTCATAGTTTATGCATAATATAGTGACTAGTGGAGTCCTACCCCAGTTCTGTCAATAGCTTCTCTGAGGGCCTGGATCATGTCTTTGCCCTGAAGGCCTCGAGCCCGGTAGTGCTTGCTCCAGTTTAAGAACAACGCCTACAGAGAGGTGAGAAGAGGTTAGAAGGTTTTAGGAGTATAAATCTAAAAAGACAGAGGAGTGTCAACATACAGAGTAAAATATACTGCAGCTGCCATTAATGAAAACCAGATGGATGGATGTAAGGTGTCATTACCTTATTCAGGGAGGACTGTTCACAGGGGAAAGAGAAAGTGAAGGCCAGAGGATGTTTCTTCTCCAAACTGATGTTCTTCTCATGCAGGAAGTCCTTTAGACACTTTGACACATGATCAAATAACTGCACACAGATAGACAGTGAGAGAAAAGAGACAAAATAGGAAAACCTCTGCTCCTATCCTGCTGTCAGACTCAAATTCAAGTACATCCCCTCTTCACCTTCTTACCTCTGTTCCTCTCCCACTGAGTAGCTCCCTAGGTACTGGGTAGGTCTGCTCCTCCATCTCCACTTCACCCTTCCTAATACCAGTGCCCTCTCTCACTTTAACTTGGAGCACCTTGAACTTGGAGCCTCCAAGATCCAGTGCTAGAAACTGTCCTTTCTCTGCAGGAGTGAGAGACAGATATATAATCTTTATTGTACTGTATTAATGTATGTATAGTTATACAGAGGAATGACAAATAAAAGGAAAACCATAATTAAATGAGTGGTGATTATAAGAAAAAAGTACATCACTGATTAATCTGCTGATTATTTGATTTGATTTTGAATGACAAACATTGGGAAAATGTTCATTTCCAATGGTGGTGGATTCAGAACATGTTGGTGGCTTTTGCTTCAAAATAGTTGCTGGTTAATTTTCTATCAATGAACTGACTAATGGTTGCAGCTGTAGGCGTCTGAGGATGAAAATGTGTCTTGGACACAGTGAGGGAATCTGTTCCTCCATCAGAGGAGCTCTGAAGCTGCTCTGGAGAAACTTTTAGTTGTCACAATACATTACAGGCTTTTCTTCCCAGAACATACTGACCTACACAACAAGCTGAAAAAGTCTGAAAACCACTAATGTGAGTGACCTGTTCCATCAGGAGTGGAGCGGACATGTGCCGGCAGCATCTTCACTGCTGCAGCAGCGTTGCTCTCGATTGACAGCCCCTTCTTCATTTCAGCCTGGAAACGGGCTGAGATGTCACTTAGCTGGCCGTCATTGAGACACATTGAGTACAGAAACCTGTCCACCTAAGTAAATGTGGGGAGGGACAAAATAAACAAAGAGCAAACCAAAAGAAATGAGTCACACTGGTGTCCTGAACTCACATTCAGCACTTGCTGCTACTTTTTGTATTTAAAACTCAGACTCGGGCCATGAGTGTATAAGAAGCCTTTAGTAGTATAACAGTAACTTAGTCTATGGAGTGTAGTTTAATCACGCATCTTTGAACTTTGAACTAAAGGGGAGACCGATGGAAACCAGTTGAAACAGGAGGTAGGTGATCGTGTATCAAAAACCTCAGCTCCGCCCTGTCTACTGTATACTATATACCCAGGCCAACTATCACTGTGGTAACATGTCCATGGGACAAGGTCCCTCTGGAAATACACCCGGTGAGGTATTGCCTTATTTGTGTTTGAGTGCGAGTGTGCACAGCATTGCTTGTGGGAGTGTTAACGCTTCGGTCATGTGAGTGTATTGAGCTCGTCAACAATAAGAGAGGAGCAGTGACGCCTCCAGGGAAGGATGTTAATCATTTCTCAGCAAAAGACAAGTTGTGACACAGTAACTAGTCATTACAAGACACCTTATTACAGCGCTGACTGCGGTCTTATCTTTTAGTTCTAGTAAAGATAGTGTACATGGGTACAAACACGAGATATTAGTCATACATTTACTGATCTCCATTATGTGATCAATTCTCTTATAATCGCCAACATCAAATGACAAAACACCACATTAGAGCAATAAATGTTTATCACTGGTGGAAAGTAGCTAACTTACTCAAGTGCTGTGCTAAAGTACAATTGTGAAGTATCTGTACTTCACTTACTTGTTTTCATTTTCTCCTGCTTCATACTTGGACAATTACATTACAATATTGTACTTGTTACTCCACTACATTTATTTGAATATTAATATTAAATATTATTGAATAAATTTACTTTTCAGAATCACCTACACAGTAATGGATCAATAATTATAATCCAATAATATACATCAAGTTAAAGTGCAACCTTTCTGAACAATGAGCACTTGTACATTTGGTACTTTAAAAAGTATATTTTGTTAATACTTTTGTAATTGAATGCAGGAACCTTACTGGCAACACAGTATTTTTACACTGTGGTATTGCTACTTTTACTTATACACGAAGAATCTGGGTCCTTCTTTCTTTAAATTAAATAATGTCCAGAGAATACTGTCATATTACTAAATCTGCATCATCCATTCATTACTTGTACTTTCATAAGGAGCAAATGGAGTGCTACAAACACAATTGTTACCTAAAACAATCTACACAATCCTTCTATTGCTCTCACACTCTCAGTTGAAATATCTTTAATGACAGCAAATCACAAACATAAAGTAACGCAGTAGTACTACTACAGGGAACAAAGGACTAGTTAAAGTTGTTTGTGTGTGTCAGGTAACTCTTACCTTCTTTGTGGGGTCCTCCTGGAGTTTGGAGAAGAAGAATGAAACAAGATGAACAGCAAACATGTTGCTGTATGAGCTTTTGTCCTTCTAATAGTGCACAATGTAACAGTATACACAAAAACTGTTTCAGTATGTATACATATTAAGATAAAGAAAGCCTGTTTTTCTCTACAGTCCTGCTCCGTTGGTCTTATTTTGTTCTCACAGTGCTAGTCCACTGACCAACCTTTGCACTGACTCAATGATTAACCACAAGCCAAACCCTTTTTCACTATCAATCCCTCATCTGTTTCTGTCTTACAGCCCATACCTGTCCCCTTTTAGTTTCATCACAGTGTCACTACTGAACTACACCAGACCTTTAATGAAGTTCTCCAGAATTCTCATATCAGCATTTCAGTGATGACTATCAGACCAAACTGAAACAACACAAAGTGATTCTAGATAAGACTATGTGCTATCAAACTCAATTACATATTTTAGGAATGTCATGGAGGTAGACAATTGAAGGAGGTAAAGTAACTACACACTTTAATGGCAGCTGTTCATCTTCTTTGCCTTTTGATTTTAGAGAGTGAGAAGATGCCTGAGGAATGGAGAAGTGTATTAGTGCCAATCTTTAAGAACAAGGGTGATGGGCAGAGTTGTAGCAACTACAAAGGTATAGAGTTGATGAGCCATACAATGAAGCT